ACAGAGAAGATAGACAAAATAATACCTAAAACATATTTGGGTACACTCGGAAAATTGCACACTGTCTCCCTCAAATGTAAACAAGCGCAAAACACCTATTAAAATGAAAAAAAAAACATGATGCATCACTTGAAGAATAACTGTTACATCACGCTATATATTCAGAGAATGCCTATTGGAGTGTAGATATTGTAATACAGTTTCATATGACTGGCGGGCAGAGTGGCTAGTAGTGCTATATTAATAGGTATATTTTTCACAGATTCTTTCATTTTCGGGCATGAAAAGCTCCGACCATTAATCTCAGTAGCAGAAATGGTACCTCGAAATGCGCGTATATATTAAAGCTAACTTTGAACTTGAAACAACTCTTTTAGGATCAGGCCCACTCAGTATAGCACGTGCAGAAAAGCTGGCCCCTGGATCTGAAATGCTACGGTTCGCCATGCAGTTAATGCAGCCTGATAAAGCAGATTTAATAGGAGTACAATATAAGTAGTCAATATTTGGCCGGACATTCCTCTAGGACACTGCTCCACGTCTTGTGGTGGTTAAGTGGAGCGCGGTATGAGCCGCCTCCATCCACAGCTCCATTTCTTGGAGGCAAAGAAACTGATAACATCGATTTTTCTCTTTCTCAAGCCTTAATGATAGATCTAGGGAACCAAGTGATGGCATGGCTCCGGGGAAACTCGCTTTAAGGTTTTTTATCTCTCAGTTTACATCCGGCAGTGGAATAATTTCCAGTTTTAGAAATGCATATTGGAAAGATCTGGACTTTGGGATTAATTTCAAGAAATTTTATGAAATATGAGTAGATGTGCCAATTGCAGATTCATGGGGCACAACTTCCAGATTTATACCAATGTCATCTTTTAAATGCGTCACAAAAGCAATCTTAAAGTTACAAAGAGCACTGAAGGGTATTGTAAGGGGGTTGCGGAATTACACGTTTGTCACTCAAAATGGAGGTTGAATTTGAAAACCGCCAAGCGCACTCTAAATGCGTCTTTGAATGTCAGTCAAGTGAAGTCGCCGGGCAATCCTCTGATGTGAATTGGACGAAGTGAAGGAAAGCTGTGGAAAGTAAAGTGGGATACACGCAGCCTATATATAAGCATGAAAATCGCTTGTGACAAGGCCACTTTAGATAAGGGATAACAACGAAAGAAGACAAGAACGCACAAACTGAAAGGCACCAGTGTAGCAGGGCGTATTTTGACCGTAAAATCAAAAGGGACTACTAAGAAACGTCCACCCAAGTTTCTTATAGAGGCTTTACACGGTAGCCATCTTGCAGGGCAGTTCTTTTGTTCCGCAAGGAAACCTCCTTTGTGCGTACCCTGTGACACAAAAGCATTGACCTGCACGATGGCAGCCATGCAAACCTTCTATAGAAGCAAGCAGCAACAAGAGTGACAGACTTTAAATGGGTCTCCATACATGTTTGAGTCAGATATTTGTTGCCCTCAGGCCGGTTCATCCTTCGCGCAAAAACGAACGCGAATTTGCGACGTCACATCAAATATCGGCAATGCAAATTCGTAAAAGTTGAAAACATTTGAACTCGGGCAAATTTTCACCAGAAAGTTGCCGTGACGTCAAATTCGAGTCGCTTTCGCATTTGCCTGAAGTATGAACCGGCCTTTAAGGTGATCTACGTACGAGCGACATTCTCTGTATTAAACAGGGCCCCCATAACGAAAAACGGTACATGAACAAGACGAAGTTGCACGCGCAGCTGAATAATAACCAATGTTTCCATGGTTGATACCGATATCAGTTTTGCCAGCAACGGGGACAAGCACCACAGGGGAGACACAGCGGCAGTACAGGTGCAACCGGTATGCACTGCCCCTGTGATCTGGCCGGCGGGTGTGATAAAGCTGCACCGTTCGGCTATACCTGTGCCGTGTCATCAATTAGGCAGCAAAACCTGGCACTGCGCCCCGTAATTGGAGAAACGGCCGGTGGCAAGGGGACTTGTATCGGGGAATGGAGGTGAGACGCTTGCGGCCTCTTGTCCGAATGAAATAGGATGCTGGTGATGCGTCGTGTCAAAACAGCAACTTCAAACTTGAAATCTCTTAATTAGCGTTCAAACCCACTACTGCAACCTCTCATGGAAATAAATACACACAGTTTTCGCATCACCAAGAACACAAATTATGTCTTTGCAAACATCATAAAGTCATGCGTAAAAGCCAATGATTAATTTCTGATCGTGAACACAAAATTCAATTCACAAATCACCACGATCCTTGAGAAAAATTCTGATTCGTGAACCATAAAGACCTTGGTCTTTGGGCGATTTGGTCCAACCAACAGGCCTATGGAGCACGTCATGTTCAACCCGCACACCAAGTTTTACACGCCCCGTCCTTTTTGAGTTTGGGCGGGAAAACTTTAAACTTTTTACTTGCACACACCAACATGTACACACAGGTTTCATACTTGAGGACATCCTTTTGTTTCAGTGCGGCTGGAAAAAAATCTGCATGAAACTACTCATTTGTTTGATCTGTGAATACAATTTTCAGCATTTGTTGTTGATAGTTCCTGCCCTGATCGTCTTCCTTATGCTGTAAATAACCCTAGCCCTCAAATGTCTGTAGACCTGTTTTTATATTGTATGGACATCTCTTTTTCTTAGATCCACACGAGAAATATAATGCATATTGTAGCCCAAGCAAAAAGGATTAAACACACACGGGTACGACGGAAAAAGTGTGCCCATTCAGCTCCGGTGTGGGGGGGGGTTAAAATAGTGAACAATAATTATGTAGGGAGGCCTAAACCTAGCCCTAGTTATAAATAAAGGTATAATTCTGAATTGTCATTCGCTTAGGAAATAATCTCATTAAGGGTTTTCAGCTGGATCTGGATGCGTTTATGCTCCAATAAAACAAATAGACTGCATTATATTACACTAATCTGTATGAGGGATGGCATAGGGTTCGAGTTTCAAGTCTGCAAACATAAAAAAGTGTCATACTATACAATATCATCCACAAATTCCAACGACAATTCGAGTGAAAATGCTTGAATAAGATGTTTTTGCAACAAGACCCTGAGAGAAGATATTTAATTTATCAACAATTCCGCCATTATTATTGTACGAGTTCTCAACCTTGGACGGAACGCAAATTGCTGTCCTCTTTATACGAGCAAAGCTAAAAAAAAAAAAAAACCCACATTATTTACGCATCCCCATTCGCATAAATGCCACAGTATCACTGCAGGAGATTTTATACACTACGACAGCACACATGCAGGTCAATGGGATATGCTCTTCTCAATATTAAGAATATTTTTTTCCATCAAACAACCTCTTTTTTAACATTTTCGAAGTCGACGACAGAGGGTTCAGAACATCGGTGCCGTTTCAACTGAATGCATAAAAGCAGACCGATAACTTGTACAGAAAATAAAACTTTGAAAAAGTAAGCAGTGAACATGGTTTCCTGAGGGAAAAGCATGCAAATTTATGCAGCTTTCATTCATGTGGCGGCTTTGCGTCGAGACTGCACTAAAATTGTTTGCACTGAGGGTATCCACGATTGCAATCTCCACTATTTAATATCAGAACTGAAGCTTGAAGATACGGTGTTATCAAGTCCGGACCTCCTGTATCTAGACACATTACGCCGACGGGCATTTACACCCCTTGGCTGCAAATTTCGCATCTTGATAGGCCGCAATTCGTTGCACAAAGCAACTCCGCTTCAAGTGATCTTATCATTTGCGCACACGGCCTGAATACACACTCGGTTTTTTAAGCATAGATTCTGAGGCGAGATACCGGCAGTCATGCATAAGAGAGCAAGCCGGATGTCTTGGCCAACATGATTATGTTGAGTGCACTAAGCTTGAATGACGGACACGAAATGCATTTTCTTGGATAAGAAGAAAATGGGCTTGTTGTAAGAATTATTGCTGGTTTCATATTAGCAAGTGAAATCGTGTCTTTCATAAACAGATGCATTTTATTAATTTTGGAGAATTTATTGATCCCCAGAGCTCACTTCCATATGCTAACGTGATAACAAATTTAAAAATGCATTAGGTTAATTTTTAATTATGAGTTTTTGCCTTTACACCGATGTATATAAGGGTAAAACTCCATAAATAAAAGTAAACATCCCCAAACGCTATTACATCTTTGAATACATTAGGGTTTTATTAACGAAACATGCAAATGATGCTGAGTCTCATTTACACAAAACCGAACATTCAACAACTGGCTGGTGTATTTTTGAGGAACACGTGATCTATCAGTATTCGTTCGAATGTGACTGATTCTTGACTTAGCTTTAGTTTTAACAAGACGGAACGACCACAAGCCAGACAAGCACGTTTCTCCTTCAAGTAAAGTTGTTACCGCAAAATGCCAGCTCATTTTTCCAATACTCGTTGCTTTGAATTGATTCCGTTGTTGCTATGCCGTGGAACAGATGCATAGGGTTAAAAGATACTCCACTCATTATCTCGCAGAAGTGACTATATTTTTATAATTGATCCACTTGAAAACTGATAACGCCAAAATATCTTGAAGCATATCAAACGACAAAACGTCCCAGAAAGCTAACATCATCACTGCTTGCTAAAGAGCCGAAATAACAAGCGTGAAATTAAACTCACTGTTCGTAAAAGGAATGTCGAACAATGCAATGGGGAAGATGGAATATAAGAAAGCACAGAAAAAATATCAACCTAAGCTGATGACGTGGTATGTGTCAAGTGTATCGATTTCGCATCTCTAAAGACTTCAGTGATACTAGCGATGCATCAGTCATAATAAGACAGCCACTAACAAACTGTAGTGTTGGGTTCGCTCTTTTGTATACAGTCCCATCAAGGGACCGTGTTTTGAATTACCAATCAATCGCAATAAAGGTTCACTTTTAATTCCTGAACAATGTTGGAAATTAGACCTCACCCAGAGCCACAAAATGCACGTGCACGAACAATACCTAAAGTAAGTATTAACACCCACCTACCTGAATCTTGGCGTCTTACATCACACTATAATCATGAGAGGAGAGAGAGAGGCGTTGCCTCTTCGTCAAGGGATGCATCCTCTCTCGATCGCATTCCCTGTCCAAACCTGCCAGGCAAGTCTCTGAGGAAAGAAGTTTATAAGCAGATAACCTTTATGAGGTCATCGTCGGAGTTCGAAAAAAAAAAATCAGGTGAAACTTTTTGAGCGACAATGTCAGCACTGATGGTGGTATGGTCTCCTGGGGCATTTCCTCGACGATGATTTGATTCCGGTGATCAGAGCTAATCCGACCGCGCATGACGTGCCACTACAGCAGATTGCTTCATACAATTTAACAGCCTATCACTCTTCAACAAGGAGACAGTGAAGATCACCTTTACTTTCCAAAAAAAAAACAAAAAAACCGACACGGTCAGGAAGCGAAGGGTGATAAGATTTCCTTACGTATCGCGTTCCCCCGGTTGCTGAAATTTCTGAGTTTTTGTAAAGCCATATAATCCACGAAAATCAATGTTGGTTGGTTGTTCGACGGCTGAATGTGAACACACACCTCCAACCATGACTTCAACACTTCAACCCAACGCAGATGGCGTTCGATGTGGCAAACAATTTATGTATGCAATATCAAGGACTGTCAAAGAATATTTGTTGTTTGAATTCTAAATCGTGACCTTTGACTTCTACAAAACCTGCGGCAAACTGCTTGCTGGCTTCAGTTACCTAAAATACACAAATTAAAAATGTTTAAAGGCTTGACGTTTCGATGGCAGAATATTTTGCCTATGAGAAAGATTTTCGCTTCAGTGATGAAAAAGTCACATTCTTTTACAACCCAACCTTGATTACCCGATAAGACTCTGAGCTTGAATTTATTAAAATTGCCAGCCCCTGCATGGGCCTGGAAGTCTCAAAAACATTACGGACCAGGTCAAACAATCGGCTTTTCCAACTCAGATGTAGTTCACAGTGACTTCTACGGCAACGTATCTACCTAATGAATGTCCTTATCCTCTTTGTAGCCTGAATTGTTTTCTCAAGGAATTTTTTGTACATGTTGAAAAACATTACAGCCCTCGGCCATGGTCCGGAAACTTTTAAGGCCTCCAGCGGGAATGCTGCAGAGGAAAACACTCAAGCCACTGGGATTATGAGCGAGACAGAAAGGAAAAAAAACCTGGTCTTGTAGTTTAGGAGGCTGAATGACCAACAATATGCCGCAGAAACTCCACAATGTCATTTGCAACGGCAATGTCAAACTTAAGCCGCTCAAAGTGGAACAGGAAAGCAAACCATGCTTCGCTGGGTTATCAGGTAAACTTCAGGTGTAATTACAAGAAAAGAACAGCATCAAGCATAGGGACACACAAGAAAATTGGTAGTGGTCACAGTGCCTGAAAAGAGCTAGTGGAACTAGTACCACAGGTTCAAATAGGTAAAGAAACATAGTTGAACTGCTGGGGAAACTGACGGTGAGTACCTCAATCCATTCCATTCTATGTTTCTATTCCTCTGAGGAAATACACAGGAAAACATGGGGCTTTGATCGTGTTTTGAAAAATAGTTCTCACCGACTCCCAAAAAGCAGTCCATGACTAATTGCAGAAAGTAATACAATATAACTTTGCTCACCACGCTTATGCACTGCCCTGTTGACAACCGAATTGAAAATACGAGTCAACGATCTAATAACAATTTATTATTAAGAATTTATTCGGGAAAAATAGTCTCTCAGCAAACACAATCACTTTCGCCGTTTTAGACGCCGCTGAGAAATGAAAACTGCCCGCCGGCCTCACGTTTCCCATCTAAAACCAAGATCGCAAGCAACAAGGAATATCGTGTGACCAACAGTTGAGATATGAATAAGAGAGTTCATTTTCATTCACTGAACTTCAGTTTTGAAAAGGTTGCAATCGCTGATGAAAATCCAGATAAATATGTAAACCACTAAAGCAAAACCCCCGAAAATGGAAAGTAGCCTCTTGAAATGGCAATTTGTCAATGCCGAAGCGAGCGACCAAACCTTTCCTCTGACATTTTACTTTCAGGCAGCTGGGACAACAATTTCTCGGAGGGTAAACACACTATAAAATGCCTGGTTTACCCGTGTAAAGGGGATGTGAGTGATGCAGCCCTTACTGCGAGGGGCAGAGGAAGACACCAATGAAGGCAGTCATTACAATAAGGGTTTTCTTCCCTTATTCCAAGTGTTAGGATAAGTGCAGTAAGAGACAGTAATTATTTTTATTTGAATGCCGTTCATTTGTGAGAATGCAATTAAATTCACACCTGTATTTTTCAGTCTTTGAAGCCCAACTCACGCGCTAGGCAAGTTTTTGATAAAATCCTGTCGATTGCAACAAGAAATGTTGACATCAAACTCAATGTACAACTTGACTAATAAATCATTGACTTTAAATTTCATTATAAAACAAAACAAGAACAATGTAAGCATTGAACAAAGTTTTGGAACAAATCAAAATAATCTTCAGATGGATGGAATTCAGTTATTGACTTACGTTACTGACATTTGAAACTTGCGCACGATCAGCTCCGATGGAAACGTTACGTAGGAGTAGGAGGATTTTGTACTTTGGATTCTGAAAGTAGGGACAAATGGATTGCAATTTGAGACTGAGACTTTGAAAAAAACAGGAAATGTAGTATTTTACTCTCAGGAACAAAAACATCCACCAGCAGCAATTTCATTAAAAGAACAAACGGAACCAAAACAATTTTGGAAGGCATCCATTTTTATTAAGTGTCAGTAGACATAACAATGTTTCATATTGACAACAATGATCCTTGTCAAGATAATGTAGATGCTAAAGGGTTTTTCGGTAACAATTTCAAAGCAGATGGAATTTAAAAAGAAACACAAAGTTGTGAAAATAAAACTAGAAATAAACTATTGTACACCTGCTCCTTTCTGCTTTCATAACATCTTAAAAATGACAATGTTCCTCAATGGCATGTAATGTATATAACCAGTGTTTGCTCAAACATTGTAATAATTAAATTGAACGAGCTATGGAAGGATTCAACCCTACATTACACACAGCGGTAGAAGCTGCACCGAAAAATATAACATACTCCAGATATACTTGATAATTTGGAATAACTCACAGACAACACCCAAGAGAAAAAGTCTGTTGATAAATACATGTAGTTCTTTGTAAGTTTCTACCTTGCCAGAAATGGTACACAGGAAAAACTATGAACCTAATATGACCTCACCTCATAATACACACAGAGTGAAATTACATGCCAGCACACATGATATAGCTGTTTGTTCATGCAAGAGGACACATGCTTTTAAATGTTTATTGGCATTAATAATGAAGCACACGAAATTTAGAAATATGGCCTATAGTATGAATGTTTGCATGGCCTTTGAATAATTCAGTATCTTTGCCCTTCAGATAAAGTAGTGAGGCTTCAATGATCTATATGATTTCCACAGAAAAGGGCAGTTTTTGAACTTTTTGTTCAAACAAAAAAATCCCTTCATCAGTTCTGCATTTGTAAACGTAAACAAACTTCAAGCAGGACATAAGAATACAGTGAAATCCTGTTCAAACGAATAAAGAAAGTACAGATCTCTTCCCAGTAGCATGGTAATGTTGATCAGTTCATGGTAATGTTGATCAGTTCATGGAAATCATCTACCTCACGTTTGAGTTATCTGGTTAAAAGTTTGCAGCCAAGGCCTAGTTAGCCATCTTGTCTCGTTTGAGTCAAGACATTTAATGAGGCAATGACAAAGAAGCTACTGACGCTGGACACTCTCTCAGGGCACTTGGAGACAACTCTCCATCCACATACCTAGCAGGGTACTTGTGATAATGTACCGCTAAATTGGGGCCATTCAAACCAGAATAGACACTGCTTTATTGAGATGAATGTACCTGTTTAGTTTGCCTATCCCTCCTCCCTATCTGAAAGCATAGTGAAGCATCTCCTCCACTGAAGTCAGCTTCTCCCGTGGTTTGCCTTTCTTCTCTCCTCTTGCCTTCTCCTCAGCATCAATCTTAAGCCAATCAGCATAGGACACTGGTCTGGTACCTGTATGCAAAACATGCAAAATCAAACACTGAACATATGTCACCAGACCTTGTACAAAGTAATGGTACTGGACACATATTGAATCCTTACACGAACGTTTGAAAGAGAGACTTCTTTTTCTTACTGTGAAATACTCCTTGGACCCTTCATTCGCAAAACCTATATAGCATATTCCAGGTACCCTACAGCAAATTCTTTGTAACTAAACACTGGGCTGCAGTTTAATCATTACACAGAGTAATAGTGGCCTATTTCAATCTTGTACTAAATCCATCACAAATCATGAAATACGAAGCCCTGGATTTTGATGGTTTGATGGTGGTAAGGTTTGGTGCTTGTGCACGCTTGCCTCAACATCCCTTACTCATTCCACTATTTGTATATCCAATGAGATTACGGCCTTGAACGGAATAGGTGAGCTGGAAGAAAGACACCAAGGGGGACGCAGAAAGATAATGCAAAAAAGCCACTGTTATACTGAATGAATTCTCACAATGCTGACTTCAAACTCTGGTTTCCTGACAAAGAATAATTGGGGGAAAGAAAGTTTGAGTCAAAGTCCAGACTCCCAAAAGTGAAAGTCTCCTTATATTTGAAATAAACGTGCAAAGAAATCCCTCATTAACTCCAATTCTCTATTCTAGGCTTTTTTGGTTCAGAAGTGTCTCAAATCCTCCACTCAACCATTTTGTGTAGAGACACACAATGGCACACGCATTCCTTGAATTCATTTGCAGGGGCATCCAGTCCAAAACATCTGGTCTACACCTTCCCAAATCATGTGTTCCTTACGTGAGGCTTTGGTCAATCAAAAGTGATTTTTGCACAGTTTCACTGTCAACACTCTGCTATTGTCAAATCTGGCACAATAACACTGAAGGAATAAAGTTACTAATAACTTGTATTTCAAAACTCAAGGAAATTAAAATCACACATTGCCTATGATTTACTGACAACACCTGTCCACAGAATTATGGGCCTCGTAAGGTCACAAGAGTATGAGGTACGTACCTTGCCCCTAATAAATTAACCATACAGACCAACTGGGTGCATGTTTAAACACACCCTGTAAGGAGATGCTTATTCCATGGAGGAACACAGCTTATTCAAAGTTTCACTGCAGAAAAGTTAAAAACAATTCCTTTTCTCGTTCATAAACAATGTTTTGTAACATTTGTTAATTGGACAGAGTAATTTTCCAGCACTTACATCAAGTGGTTCCGACCCTCCAAATAAAAAAACCACAAAAACCCTCCATTTTCATGCAACTTCACAAGTTTCCAACTCATTCCTGGAGTCAACTGAAACTTATAACACTCAAAACAGAGGTAGTCCAACAAGCCGTGCCTTTAAAAAATATCATGGCTCTGTTCAAATACTGCACATTTACCTATCAGTCCTATACAGCTAAACATCATTACACTTCACTGATAGGCAGACAAGGGATGATACATCTTTCTGTGCAAACTCAACCAAGGTACATGAATAAATGGTGCTCATCATTACATCTCTACAACAGCCACTGTATCACACAGGGCAGGATAATATCCCCCAAATAACCTGTCCCTAGTCTTTGTTCAGGTGGCACTCGAGTAATCGATACTGGTGTTACTCATAAAGGCCATTTTGAAAATGAGCCTAATTGAGGCCAAGGTTAATATGAACAGACAAACTTCAAGTACATATAAAGGAATATCATTTGATTAGGGCTATCGAGCACCAGCTGCTTGGAAACCTCATCAATAACCTTTCTGCTTCCAGAATGAATGAAACAAGCTCCCCGCACAAGTATGAAAATGGCCATCGGATTTCCTGAATAAAGGCCAAACAAAGACCCACCATAGTAAGAGTCCTTCCGAGACCTCCTTCTTTTTCCTACTCTTGTTTTTCTTATTCAGAATTACCTCAGTTTCTAGTCTTTTCTCCATTCAAAACTACACGTCTTCCGACTGCGCCACCACTATATACAACAAGCCAAGAGGTGCATTTATGACTTAGTTCTACAGATACATACTTACCCAAAACACAGCCCTCTCAAGTCCAAGCACAAGGAAGCTATGCCCGCCTGTCCATGAAGGGGCACAATTTGGAAGTGTCTCAGTCCCCAGTTCACTTAAGACCACCTTAAACCAAATTCTCTCACTGTACTTACAAACATCCAAGCATTGGGCAGAGATGCTGGACTATCCTTAATTTTCAATACTAATCTTTAGATGGAAATTATGGCACACTGGTTTCGACAAGCACTGTTTCTGTCAACTGCGGAATATATTATGAATACATTGTCCTGATGCTTAAGAATTTTTCAAAAGCTTGATAAGAAAATTAACACAATAAACCATTACATATTTCACCGTTTGCACGCTCCCAAACCATCTGCCCAAAGTTCTTCCTAAAGGGAACCTTCACATCAAAAAGGGTGCAGTTTCGGAAATCTATCTTGAATGTCAAGTGTGTGAGTTATCAATCAGTCTGAAGAATTCATATCAAGCTAAAAATGGAGTGTGCGAGGTGTTGGATGACAGCACCAGCGTGTCAGACAGGAAAGAGAGAACACAAAAGCCTAAGGTGTCAAGGTTCACCTATCTTCACACTTTACTACAGGGATGGCATCAGCTTTCCTGCAGCAGGTTTGGTTTGCAACTCAAATTTTCTTTTTTTTTATCGGGGGGGGGGGGGCAGATCAAACGATAAATTGTTAAACTAAATACATGTAACTTTTTAGGATCTCATTTTCCCTTTTTTTTTAAACGTGTGATTGTTTGAACATTGATTTAATCTGCTTTTAGCCAAAACCGCCCCAGAAATTTCAAAAACATTGTGTTGTTTAGATGGATTATGTCATACAGGGCACAGATCATGACAAGTAAAGAGATGGCAGATGGAGGGAAGTTTTTCAACCAGGCTCATGCATGCACCCCACATACATGTAAAGGCGGTACATGTACATTCCAACCTGAATTCAAACTAAAATTGGTCATGCATGCTCAGTGGGTCCTGCACAAAATGCACCCTGAGCATGGAAGAGGGGAGGTTCCCCACAGATTATCAGAAGCAACCCCCTGTTGTTGCTGCCTGGGACCGGATGGGACTGGATGGGGACATGCAACTGACAGCCTTCCGAATGTGGATTTAAAATGGCATTTTCTATGTATTTCAACATTTTGACATCCTATCCATCAGGATTTGTAGTCACTCCTATCCACCTATCTCTCTGAGGAATTGTCCATGCAAACATGCATGCACTGTTGTTACAACACTGTACTGTTGGTGAGGGAAAAGTCTGTCTTCGTACTGTGCACTTTTATCCATAGCAATTGCTAATCAATATCGCAATTAGAAGAAAGTACAGCTACTGCCCTTTGAGAATTTTACAATAATCAACATTTCATTGCAGTAGTGGCTGAATTCACAAACAGCATGACTAATCAAGGTTGGAGACTGCTGGATTTCTGTGGTATCCCATGCAGAAAATGGCACTAATAAAGTGTACACATTTTACAAATCCAGTCAGTCATAAAAAAAATTGAGGAGGATTAGAATATGTACAGGTCTTACTTTGATGAATTGCTTACTTATGCAGCTGTCTTTTTCAATGAATTCAGCGAGATCCTGTCTGTGTACTCATGTATTCCTATGATCAAAAGTGCTCTGACACTTTTTTTATTGACCTATATTGGGGAGTGCACAAAAGCTACAGGTATATGCTACTGAATATTCAGGGTGTTGAAGATGAATTGTAAACACTTAATGAGGAACTACAAAAAAGAGTCCAAATGTACAAGACTGATACTGGGCACGAGGAAGAAAAGCTCATGTTCCATAAATAACCAAGTGACCTGTTTCAATTAGTCTTCATACTGAACACCAAATCTTTATAAAATGATTTCCAGTGAGGAAATACGGTACCTCTTCTGGAAAGAAAACATTTCGGTCATTTCAATTCTCTTGGTAATAACAACAGGGTTATGGTGAAAAGATCACTGACAGCGATCATAAAGGTATGTTTGATTTGAAGGTACGTTGTGTAAAGGGAAATCCCTGCGATTTAGCAAGAATGAGTATAAAAATGCAAGTCAATCCTCAAAAACACCTGAAAGGCAAAGTATGGATATGCCTGATCAAAAGCGGTGTACTTGTAGACTTGATGTAAGTCGCTCATGTTTTACTTAATACACGTATACGTACAGTATACACGCACTACACAGCTGCATATGCATGCAAAAATGCAAGACCATGTTAGCATGCCGTAGGGACTGTATTTTATGGCTGGTGGTGAGAGTTTTACTCTGTAGTGGTACGACAGGCTTGGCATTAATCAAACCATCATGATTTCATGAAAAATTGTACATCCAGCCGTGTCTGAAACGGGCTTCTTGCGCTACAGCTACAACTCCTGCAAGCATGTGCCCCACTGGTGGCGGAAGCGAAGCCCGAAAATCATTCTGCTGCCGGCGATGCGCCCACATTACTTTTAACTGCAAAAAGCGGACCTAAAGCAGCTACACACGTAGCAAGCTCGATTACAACATGCTGCAGGACTTTGATGTGGCTACATTTTCCCCAGGAATTGCAAATGTTACTCAACTGTGACATCAGTCCCAACTCCTATTACTGCATTCAGCGAGTCTGGAATACTGATTCAGATATAGTCTGTTATAACAAATGCAGACGGGATAGTACCGAGGAACAAACTAATGCGTACAGGCAGTGGCATGTTCTGTTTTAGCATCGTGGCCGAGACGAGCTGTGCATCATTATTCCAAAGCTTTCAATGGAGCCCAGTTATTTAAACAACCTTTGAACAATTGATCTTCCTCGAACTCAGAACACGTGGCCATCTGGTCACTGTCCGCTTTTATTGAATATATTAAGATACTATTTGCCAGTGGGGGGTCTCTCCTCCGTCCCCTGCTAATGATTAAAAACTATGAATCAATCTGCTTGTTAGACTGGGTGGCAGGATTTGAATCCAGGTCACAGAAGTAAAACACACGAAA